ATGTGGCCAAACCTACAACAGTTAAAAACTAATGAGTGAACATCAAACTGCGTAATGCATTAACCGTGTACAATGAGATCTCCATTTAAGGTTCAGAATCTTGAACTAAGGAAACCCTTAACTCTAGAAATACAACATTGAAAAGTGTTTGCTGGGACTATAGCAACTGAACATAAAAACCCCTTCCAGGGTCACATTTTACCCATACTTCCCACATAAAATTGTTGTAGTACATTACCAAGCGTAATATCAACCAACACACGTCTATTTTTCTATAATCAGTCCGTAATCTGCCACATTTTTACGAGTTACAGAAGATGCAAGAAAATTTGAGTGCAGAGTAAAAAAGACTACAAGCAGTACAAATAATGTTTCTTGCTCAGAAGGACTGAAGAAAATCATCACAAAAACCTCAGTCATAATACCTGGCAACTGAGTTGTAAATCAAACCTGGGACCTTCCAAATACAAAGCAGAGTGCTAACTACTATACTGCAATATTTGGTAAAGCTTCTAATGAGTATTTATAAATAACGAGGGATAAAACCTGAAACCAAAGACAATATCTGAATGCAGAAACTCTACAATAAAATATTATTACAATTAACATTTAAATATTTAAAATATATTAAAATGACTATCATTTTAATATATATTAAATATTTAAATGTTAATTGTAATAATATTTTATTGTAGAGTTTCTGCATTCAGATATTGTCTTTGGTTTCAGGTTTTATCCCTCGTTATTTATAAATACTCATTAGAAGCTTTACCAAATATTGCAGTATAGTAGTTAGCACTCTGCTTTGTATTTGGAAGGTCCCAGGTTTGATTTACAACTCAGTTGCCAGGTATTATGACTGAGGTTTTTGTGATGATTTTCTTCAGTCCTTCTGAGCAAGAAACATTATTTGTACTGCTTGTAGTCTTTTTTACTCTGCACTCAAATTTTCTTGCATCTTCTGTAACTCGTAAAAATGTGGCAGATTACGGACTGATTATAGAAAAATAGACGTGTGTTGGTTGATATTACGCTTGGTAATGTACTACAACAATTTTATGTGGGAAGTATGGGTAAAATGTGACCCTGGAAGGGGTTTTTATGTTCAGTTGCTATAGTCCCAGCAAACACTTTTCAATGTTGTATTTCTAGAGTTAAGGGTTTCCTTAGTTCAAGATTCTGAACCTTAAATGGAGATCTCATTGTACACGGTTAATGCATTACGCAGTTTGATGTTCACTCATTAGTTTTTAACTGTTGTAGGTTTGGCCACATACAGAGTATCCCTTAATTCGTGTTGGCAAACTCGTGCTTGATCGCAATCCTACCAATTACTTTGCTGAGGTGGAACAGATTGCTTTCAGCCCCGCACACATGGTGCCTGGCATAGAACCAAGTCCTGACAAGATGCTGCAGGTAGCCACTTCACATATATGTACCTGAACTGCAATTAAGTGCGTAATAATTTTTATGTTGTTATATTTCCAGCACCAAATACCAAGTAAGTAAAATGTTGTAAGCAGGAAAGGTAAATTATTAATATACAAAGAAAATAATTGAGAAATATATAAAACTATTTAATCATTGACCTGTTTTCTATACAGAGTAATGGCATAATTTGAAGTCAAACGTCATTAGGTACCCTGGAATTACAATTTATCAGGGCTCATTCCTGTACATTGCCTTACCTTACAAATAATTGTTGCATTACATAAAATATATATATCATCAAGATCTGCAGCCCTTGTTTTAAGCATTTTATGATACTAAGTACGGTTTTTATTTAATGAAATACAAGAAAAGAGTATCGTTCAATCCGCGATCTCCGACATTGAGCACCACTCACCTGGCACCTTGATCGTCTGCAGGGTCGGCTCTTCAGCTACTCGGACACGCATCGCCATCGACTAGGAGCCAATTACCTGCAGATTCCAGTAAACTGTCCGTATAGAACACGTATAACCAACTACCAACGTGACGGACCACAGACTTTCACCAGCAACCAAGAGGGAGCACCTAACTACTACCCAAACAGCTTTAGTGGGCCTGAAGATGTTCCAAACTGTGCTATTACCAAGTACGCTCCTTCAGGAGATATTGCCAGGTAAGCACAAATGTCTTGGTATGATTGTAGTTCAACTAATGCCGTGGGTGCAGAGCTCGAAGGTTCGACGTCTTTCATACCCGAGCCTTATCGAACGTAATCCTGAACTATTTCAGTCTACCTCCACTCCTCACAATCTATCTAAAATCCAAGTTTATGTTAATCTCTGTCTCCTTCGTCTTCTATGTGGCAGTTTTCCAGGAAATTTCCCCACCAAAATATGTATGCAGTCCTTATCTCCCACGTCTTAGCTCAACTCCTCAGTTTCACTGTCCTAACAATCCTATGTGGCACAGTGTTCATCCCCCCCCCCCCCCCCCCCCA